CGCAATTGTCTGTAGTGTGAACGCTTTAATCGATTAAAGGGCTCATATGATGCGATTTCAAGTTTTCCTTTCTCTTTGGAGTGTTACAAGCTGTTGATAAATAGATAAGATCCCTAAAGTTGCAAAGACTAAAGTCTCAAACCCAAAGAGATATTCTTTATAAAAGTTAAGAGTCAACCGCGCCTACCTAAAACGGCTCGTTCTAACACGCCCCCACATACTTTAACATGAGCGCGGAAAAAATATGCACCGCGTATGCACTGCAAACAGAGTATGTGTGAATCTGGCATTATGTGTGTGCGCTGCGAGTGTGCAGGAGAGCCAGGAGAGTGGTTTGAATGGTTTAAACACTGGCAAGAATTAAAAAGAAAAAATGCAATTTATAAACTTTAGTGATGATGCGACACTGCCTCGAAGTGACAATTCCTGTGTCAACTGTGCAGCGTGCAGCTCGCTTATAGTGCAGACGCGATTTGATTTAAAGCCATTTACGCATTTTGAGAGAGAAAGAGAGAGTGCGTGCGGTGATTCACTCATGCTTTTTGTGAAATTATGTCTCAAAGAAACTTTTTAAAATTACTTTATAAGTTGTTTAATGAAGAAATATGAATTGTACCTCAACTTCAGCATTATAATTATTTCAGCCAGAGACGGTGCCGCTGCATGTCATGCCAAAACTCTTACAGCAGGCACGTCATCAGCTTTAGATCAGTTTATGAGATCAGCCTTTATAGAGACCGCTGATCAAACATCCCAGAGCGATTATCGGCCGATAGTGATTGGTAGCCGATCAATCGGAGCACCCCTAGTTACAAACGATTTAAAATAAACTGTTCTTATAACTTTCCATTCATCAAAGAATCTTGAAAAAAAATTATTATGGTTTCCACAAAAATATTAAGCAGCAAAACAGTTTTCAACCTTGATAATAATAAGAAATGTTTCTTAAGCACCAAATCAGTATATTAGAATGATTTCTGAAGGATCGTGTGACACTGAAGACGGGAGTAATGATGCTGAAAATTCAGTTTGCCATCACAGGAATAACATTCAAACAGATAACAGAAATTATTTGAAATTGTATTAAATATTACTGTTTTTGCTGTATTTTTGAGCAACTAATTGCAGCCTTAGTAGAATAAATAAAGAGATTTATTTAAAAAACATTACAAAAATTGTACCGACCCAATCTTTTGAATGGTTGTGTATATATGCAATGGAGCCCACTAACACAAAACTCTTCTGAAAACATGTATTCTATTAAAGGTACAATCTGGCAAGCAATTATACCGCAACCTCAAATGCTTTTAAACTACAATAATGTATAACGCATCCACATAATTGCACTTTGATTTCAACAGCATGCACTGTTATAGCCTAAGCTCTTAAATGTGAGGCAGCCATGCATTATTAGTGCCTATGGACAAACTCTGGAATAGGGGTCAACAATACTTTGTCAATAATGCACACTACATTTGACTTATGAGAAATGGGTGAAAGCAATTATATGATAAAGGTGCGACTGGGTCTTCTTGGTAGGGACTCACATGAGACTTCTGGATGAGTTCTTCCTTGGTGATCTCCCCCACACACTCCAAGTGTGGACAATCATTGCTTGACGCTCCAGACATCACTCTATTGGAAAGAGAGAGATACGTTTAGTAAACTACTATTTAAAAATCCAGGATCTGGGATCCGATTATTAAAAACACATCATTCATAGTGAGAACACTAAGCCGTCCAGATGAAATAAGCCATTCCCTTGTAATTCAAACACAAGTGGCCAATGGAGACACATTTGAGATAAATATAGTATGCTATTATATAGAACAAGTCTTATGAACTAGGGCTGCACGATAAATCGAAATGGAATCGAGATCGCGATTCCTACTTTTATCATCTGATGCTTCACCAATTATAATCACGTCCTCTCATCCATCTCCTATTTTGTTCCACAAAAGATTACAACTTTGTAACATAATAAGGATGAGTAAATGATGATATGCCACAAGCCCCAAAAATGCTCACGTTTGGTTTAACTATTCCTTTAATATTGCTTATGAAAAGCAATGCAGCTTTTTAAATTGACATTTTTAAGTGTTTTGCAACACAAAGTTCACTGAAAATTTAAAATGACCTTCTGACAAAGCATTATTGTGTTCATTTTCGGAATTTTTTTATTTTATTTTTTTTACAATTTTCTAAACTGTGTGTATGAGTCTCTGTGGTTACTGAGTGTAATTCAAGGCGAAGGTTAAGACATGTTTTGTGAAATGACAAACAACAAAAATCACTGCCATGTCTTGAACTTCTGACATAGATTTACAATACAGATTTACTTTTGTACTCAATCGATAACCTGTAGACTAATGAATATCTGTGACAGGACAGCATATGCATGCAAAATCTGTATGGCCTGCACATACTTTACAATCTCACAGCACTTTGGCCTTATATAAACAGAAAACAATAATAACATCATAAAATGTTATCTTTAAAAATCTACAGACTAACCAGTTTTGCAACAGAGACTGTTTACAAGACTTAGTTACTACATAGCCTATGACAAGGTTTCCCAAACCAGGGTTTGCGAGGGAACTGCAGTGGGTTTGATGAAAGCTGATGAAAAGCTAAAAATAAGGGTTTTTTAGTGTTTACCCCCCAAATATGATTATCCTCGTGTATATGATCCCCTATATAGTTTCTTGTATAAACGCCTAATTTATACCATAAAAAAAAATTAACAAGATAAACGTCTGAATTTTTTTTTTAAACATTTATTTTAAGTTATATTATCATATTACATTTGTAGTCATTCGTACTATAACAATGGAATATATTTATTTTGATATATAGTTTTATTATTTCTTTATTCTAAATTTTGATTATTATTTAATTTTTGTATTTTTATTACATGTAACCTTAATTTATTTGTAGTCTTAACTTTATTAATTTTTTTAATCAACACTTTTTTCTCTAATCATTTCCACAGAGCCCCTCTTTTTAAATAAAAAAAATTAAATAACAATAATAATTATAATTATAATAATAATTTAAAAAATCTAAATAACACACTCATCAAGAAATACGAAACATTTTGTGTTTACCAGCATGCCACGTGACCATTAACCCATATCAGAGAACCGTAATCATGCAAAAGAGTATTTAAAATAGTTTGGGAATTCGAGATAGTGAGTAATAATTATTGTTGTAGCCGTTTTGTTGTTTGTTGCTATCCTTATTCGTATGTACAGTACACTCATAGTATTGTGCAGTAACGTACAGTCACATACAGTAAACGACAGCTATGGGCCTCTACAGCTGTGTGTGACGTCACTCCAGCAACGCGTCAGCATAAGCCAGAATCTTCGATAGGCTACTTAGCAACTAGCTTCAGCCTGTCACGCACATACTTCCCCACAGTTTCCCCCGCGACTATAAACCTTTCAGTCATTACAACCACAAGAACAGCTAAAATCCCCGCAGACTGTCACTGAATGCGCTGTTTACTGTGAATGAAGAGCAGACAGAAGGCGTGTGAATGCGGCGGGCTAAAGCTAAAGTCAGTGCGCCGCTCATCATCTGACAGCTCTGCCTCTGCATCAGCTCATATCACAACACAGCACCTACAACCGCACAGTATCAATGCACCCTGCTGGACGCAAAGCTTTACATACGCCATATTTCAGTTCGCACACACAAGCCAGTGGTATAATATTAGCTCACCTCTAGGGAAATCAACGATGGTTTCAATATAAATCGATTATCGCTTCTGATCTGCTGATGAAGAGAGCGGCGGTTTAAAGACTACATATCTGTAGCATTCTTCGGTTTGCAGACAGCGGGTTTTCAAACGCCTGGCGTCGGACACTTTAACTTCAGACTGGTGCTACATGGTATGACACATTCAAACAGCTTCTTCCGGTTGCTGTGCGGTGCTGAGAGTGAATGGGGGACGCAGGCAGCGGCGGTGCCTCCTAGTGTGGACGCGCGGAACGACTCAAAGATGCGCATTGATCCCTGAAGACAGACCGGGGTCCATCCCAGCCCAGACGCCCCCGTGTGGCCGTAGAGTCAATTACATTACGGTAGGAGATGAGCAGGTAGGACTTGGTTTGAGATTTAAGATTGTTTAATTGATGTAAATACAGTAAAGAAGGTTTTTATTTATATATATATAGCGCATATAGCCTAACAACATGAGGGCTAAGCAAAGCGCTGCATATCAGGCATGATAGGAAATAAAAATACAGTAAAAATAAGATTATTAATAAATAAAAATAAATATGTAAACAATATATCAATATTTTTTGAATATACAAAAAAGACATTCTTGGTAAATGTCCTCCATTTACCCTATCAAGTGTACTGTATATATTTGTTTAAACACACACACACATATATATATATATATATATATAACATATAACACATGTATACAGTACACTTGATAGGGTAAAGCACATATATATATATATATGTGTGTGTGTGTGTGTGTGTGTGTGTGTTTAAACAATTTTCCTGAAACGTTTACATTTAAATATTTAAATTCAAAACATTTTAATTATAACACTTATGTTTGTATTATAATGTAATTTAACATTAAACATTAATCCAGATCTGTATTTTGTGTCCCTATATTTTGTTGAAATCAAAATAGCCAAAACTCTTAATAAACCTTAATAATAAAATAAACCTTAATAACTCTTAATAATAATAATAATAATAATAATAATAAATCACTTAAATCACTTACTTTTGACTGTATCTTCGTTCTTTTTTTTCTTTTTGTTAGTTGTTTTGTTACTTGTGTGTTTGTAACCTTTTTATGTTATTATGTGTTCTGTAATAAAAACGAAATAAAAATAGCTTTTTCTTTGCTGCTTTAAATAAATAAATTCTTTATAGTTTTAATTTAATTAAATGTAATTTAATATCTCTAAGAAAATGTACTAGTTTGAAACAACAAGCGAGTAAAAGATGAGTGGCGAGATTGGTGGTGGTGGTGGTTGGATGGTTGGCGACACTGGGTTGTGACTGAGGCCAAGATGGACGGAAGTGGAGTAGAGTCCGGAAGTGATCTGGATTTGGAGGATGTAGATGGCGGGGGAAATGAAAGAAACAAAAGTAGTAAGTGGACTTTAGTAGAAAAACGGAAAAGAAGGAAAGATTGGAGTCAAACATCAGGAACAGAAAGTGAGAGAGAATGTCATCAGATGAGAACAAGAAAGGAGGAGTTTAAGGTATTGGTGAAGTTTATGTCGGAAGAAGCAAGTAGTTTGAATCCCTTGAAATTGACTAAATTATATAATATATTCGTTCATCGAGGCCTCACACTCCATCCCAGTAGGTGGCGGAAATGCACCTTAAGCTGGTTTGCCAACCGCCATTAAACACAAAAGAAGAAGAAGAAGTAAAAGATGAGATAATTCTCCTTTTTGGATGAACTGGCCTACTCTTCCCACAAGTTTAATTAACTTTTATTTTGAAACCTCACAGTGGCACCGGAAGTGAGTTCCAGATTCGTGGAGTCTGTTCGCGTCCACGTGAGCACGCAGGCGTAGTTATCGCAATGAGTGACAGTACAGATGGTGTGTCTCCGAGATAAAGCTTAAATGTAAGCGTTACATTATGTTTATTATTTTGTCCTCAGTTTATAACCCACAGTCGGTGCCATTACTGCCAATATTTATGATGATGCGTGTTATTAATTTGTTTAACACATAGTTACCTATCGAGCGACGATCGAAACTGGATAACTGGGGGTCATTTTTCATAAACGTTTGGTCCCATTTTTTTGTTGGCCTTGATCGTTGGGTGTTTTTAACAAACATTGAATCACGCCATTAACATGACCGTTATTTAACCTCTGTAAGTCGGTTCACATGTCGCATATGGCACAATGAAAGCTTGTTTATTTAATTCCCAAGATTAGAATAGAGATTGCATGTATTGGACTGCTACGTATAAAAAGTCACAGAGTGGGCATTAGAGAGAAATTGTATGAAATAAATAAACAACTGTGTGTGAGTGTCTGACAGACTCAAGTCCTCTCTTAATCAGTGTCACTTGAGGTTTAACAGGCCAGCTGGTCGTTCCCCTACTGATAGTTGGATGTGTATGTTATATATGGTATGTCAGATGTAATTTGTGTTTCTTTTAGGTTTAATTGGTGAAGTGGATAATGGGCTGTAGTTGAGATCCAGGCATGGCATCATGACTGAGGAGCTGTTCAGAAACAAGCTGTCCATGAAGGTGGCTGCTTTGCACTTTGTGGACTTGCCACTGTCAGTCTATTACTCCCTTCCACAGGTAAAGTGACCAGCAGCAGGGTTGTTTTCGAAGCTTACTTACTCCAAGCTTATTGCATTGTCATCCAAAAATTGCTTTTTAAATGTAGGGGTGTCAGCCTGGGTTCAGGTATATAAATGATCATTTAAAACATAATAATATTAAACGTTTTATATACAGTGCTGTGTAATCTAGATCATGTAATCAGGTTCCAAAAATTGGTTACACTTTATTTTAAGGTGTCCTTGTTACAGTGTAATTATACATTTAAATACTGAGTAATATTAATTAACTACATGTACTCTCTTTAGGGTTCAAGTTAGGATTAGGATTTGGTTTAGGGTTAGTTGCATGTAATTCTGCATAATTTATTGTTATTATAATAGTAAGTACATGTAACTTGTAACAAAGACACCGTAAAATAAAGTGTTACCCAAAAATTAAGTATATGTAATGAGATTTTATTACATTTTTAAATACTCGTCATCAGACTACAGTTACTTTTTTATTGATTTCATGATTACACATCATTGACATGGTCACATGACATGCAGATGAACGGGTATAATATTTCATATTTTTTTATTAAGTGTTTTATTTTGATTGTTGTAATTTTAACAATTAATTTAATTTAGCTTTTCATAAACTCACAAACCCTGTACAGTTTTTTTTCCCAGTTAGGGAAACTTTGACGTAATATTAAATGCATTGGATGTTGTTAGTAACAATTAATCTCTTTTTATTTTTATATCAATATGGAACAAGATTATCCTATTTAAATCTATGTGATAAACACGTTAGGTCTAGTAGTAATCTAAAAGTGGTCAAAAAGTACTGATTATATTACCTGAAATGTGTAATGTAATGGATTACATTACTAACTACAATTTTTGTCATGTAATTTGGAATACACATAGACACATGCATACTTGTTTTTTTTTTAATACAATTATTTTTGTGGTGCATTAATGATATAGATTATAAAGTTTGTACTGTAAGTTGTAAGTAAGCCATTTATATGTTGATTCCCCCAAACAGTGTAAACCCTGTGGTACACTAATGCCGAGTTCACACTGCACGATTTTAGCCCGATTTTTCACTCGCCGACAGGTTTTGCGAAATCGCTGACAAATGCCCGAAATCGGAGGCAAATCGGTGCTCGTTCACGCGAGAGACAATCACGCAGTGTGAATTATCAAAGACGCAATCTGAGGGAATCGCAGACGCCCGTGAAATATTTGGCATGCTAAATATCTGGAGCTGTTGTCGATTCACAATCACGCAGTGTGAAATGAGTTCTGACCATAGACTGTATAAAAACATGGACGTAGTGTCCGTGACGTCACCCGTAGATTTCCGAAGAGCGTTTTTGAAGCTCAAAAGTGGGCGGAGGCGACCGTCGCCATCTTGGCAGCGCGTGAGCAGGTTGCTGAAGCCACGCCCACCTAGCTCGACGGTGGTGACAGCAGCGGCAATCCACCTGTCACTCAAGTGGCCACGCCCTTAATTATGCAGAACTTTAAGGCTTAATATAATTTAAACGGATGAGTTATAAAAAAATTCACCCCCCTCACAGTTGTCATGAAGGGCAAAATTAGCTATATAGACCAAAACCACTTTTTGAACCAGGCTGTAAACATGTTTTTTTCTGCGGTAAAGTTGGGCATTTTAACATGTGGAGTCTATGGGATTGACTCCCTTTTGCAGCCAGCCTCTAGCGGCCAGTTGATGAATTACAGTTTAAGTAACTTCCTTGTTGGCTTCACCAGAGAGAGAGTTTTGTAGCGAAAACCTGGCAACCCTGCACCAGACAGAGCTGTCGGCGATTCTTCCTATTGTGAAGTCATGCAGTGTGTAACCTCCTGTCGCCGATCCATCGTGCAGTGTGAACACAGCAACAACTGAATGCTACCCCAGATAGTCGTTCAGTGTGAAACCAACAGTGATGCGACGTCTTTGAAAATCGTGCAGTGTGAACTCGGCATAAGTGCTTTGTTTAAACAAGTTTACCAGCTTAACACATTAACATTGGCTCGACTGTTGGTCTGATTTTGTGGCAGAAGTATCTGTTTGTCCAGACAAGGGGAGTGTTTGAGAAACTTGTTTGAAAGCCTTATTTTTGCAGTTCTGAATGTTATTATTAATGAAAGTTATTACAAAGTGTTACCACTTTTATATAGGGTATATTTTATGTCAGGCAAAGCTATTTATATAGATATTAGATTATTTATGATAGATAGATAGATACTTTAAAAATTTTAAAAATGCATATAATGTAGGGCTGCACGGTTAATCGAATGCGATTGTCATGCGCATTTTGTTAGTAAAGCCGGTTCTGTAAATGTATGAATTATTACTGAATGAATTATTTCATTTTTTATTTTACTTTTTTACCAGTAATATATGTGAAAATCCACAACCTAGTTTTTGCTTATGAGATTATATTTGTCTTCTCACCAGCTTGCCATTGTTTTGATCATGTTTTATGGATTTCACAGCTGTGTCTGATTTATCTTTGAATGCGTATATGTGTGTTGCAAGCTCACTGCCATGGATAAGATGGTATTAACAGAGCACAGGTGGCATTGCCAACACTGCTATTCTCACCTGCAGGCTTATGTCTTAACTGATTCCTTCAAAAACGGGATTGTTTTCCATTCCTTTTTGGTATGGCTTTTTACTGTGAAATACAAACGTAGATGTTTTCCAAAAGCTTTTGTACCTGTATATCAAAGGAAGACAGTGATCATCAGATACTGTTAAACTCTTAAACAAATCATAAAAAAAATTATAATAATAAAAGTGCTGCTGCTATATTTCAGTCAAGTATTTTTGAAGTCTTCTGAAGCAGTATGATAGCATTGTGTGATGAAAAGACCCACGTTGGAGTTTGAATCATTTGCTGAAAGTTTTCTCCCGTCCACTGCCATGGCTTTCAAATCTCACTCACAGTTTCATTATTCAGTCCTTAAGTGCCAAAGTAGGAAAAGCTGTGGCATGCATGAGTAGCTGTGCTTCATGTAGCAACCAGGATAAATAACACGATGTTGTTTGCTAATAATAGGCAGTGTTACATGATGTCTTTTTAAGAGTTCCTCTTGGTTTTTAATGTAGGACCTGAATTGTGGAAATTGTTTTTGCTCTTTAACAATATTTAGGTCATTCACACAGTATCATGTGTCTTCTAATAAATCTTGTGCGTGTCATTAGCTTAAACTTGCTTAGTAGATCAGAACGCTCAAGCCAATCACCGTACGCTCAACCAAATGCCAGGCAGTCAATTCCAGTCATGTAATCCCTGCTGTCTGTCACCCTGTCTGTCTGTCTGTCTGTCTGTCTCACCCTCTCCCTCTCTGCATTTCTCACTCTGATCTCTGTGCCTTGAGCTGAGCGGTTGATCCAAAGTTAAGCGTTGCCTTATGTCTCTCCATTCCCTCTCTGAGCAGGTGAGTCTGAGCACCGGCACCAAGAAGCTCTTTGCCGCCACTGCCTTCGGCGCGGTCTCCCTCATCTACCTCGCCCGGCGCTTCAGGAGGAGGAAGGGCAAGAAAAAAGCCAGTTTGCCTGTAGAGCAGGAAACATTTGAGTTCCTCACCACTGTCCCCCTGAAAAAAGGTAAATGCAGATCGCAAATCATTTTTAATCAACAAGGAGTGAGTATTATTACAGTTCAAATTATTTGATGAAAAATGTATAGAGTGTACTACTACTGCATTCAAACGTTTGGGGTCAGAAACATTATTTTCTAAAGTAATTAATACTTTTATTTATCTAGGACAGTTAAGACTTTTATAATGTTACAAAAAAATATATGTGACCCTGGACCACAAAACCAGTCATAAGGGTCAATTTTTCGAAATTTAGATTTATACATCATCTGAAAGCTTAATAAATAAGCTTTCCATTGATGTATGGTTTGATAGGATAGGATCATTAGAACAATATTTGGCCGAGATGCAACTATTTGAAAATCTGGAATCTGAGGGTGCAAAAAAATCTAAATATTGAGAAAATCATCTTTAAAGTTGTCCAAATGAAGTTCTTAGCAATGCATATTACTAATCAAAAATTAAGTTTTGATATATTTACGGTAGGAAATTTACTAAATATCTTCATGGAACATGATCTTTAATTAATATCCTAATGATTTTTGGCATAAAAGAAAAAATCGATAATTTTGACCCATACAATGTGTTTTTGGCTATTGCTACAAATATACCCAAGCGATATATATATATATATCGCTTGGGTATATTTGTATATATATATATGGGGTTGTGTGTGTGTGTGTTTAGTAACGAATAAATAAAATTACCATTATGTAATGGTACAGTGGCTGTTTCTTTTTTCCCTAGAGTCTGAGTGTCAAAATCTGCCTCTGAACTCAAAGAACTGCTACTCGTGTAATGTTGTGTCCAATAGTAGTCCGTTCAGCAAGCTTACCAGCTCCCTGCCGAGCCTGGCCTCCGTAAGCAACCTGATTTATTATCATCATCTTTGGATAGCTGTATAATATATCTGTGACTTCAGAAGTCTTGTCAAATGTGTGCTTTTTGGCATCGAGATGTTGAAATGTCACATCTTTTCTCAGGTGAGGAGCAGGCACTCCTCCAGTAGCTCCACCTGTGCTAATGGCTCCAGTTGTTGGGATGGGGCAGGAGATGACGGTGAAGTCTGTAACCTGCTCAACATCCCCGTCACCACTCCAGAGAACCTCTACCTGATGGGTAAAAACATCTTCTGTCCTAAGACGAAGTTGCTTGTCATCTGGAAAGCACTGTGTTCAGTTTTAAGCATCATTTATGTAAACACATTTGATATTGATCTTAAAAGATATTGATCATGTATGTTCACAATCATAAATGTCATTCTAAAGCTGGGCGCACACTGTGCGATTTTTTTTTTTTAAGTCCTTTAGGACTGTACTTGTCAGACTGTGCGAACATGATGATCATGTCACACTGTGGGATCTCAGTTGTTATTAATGTCAGACTGTACGATAGTCAAGACGGGTTAAAAATGGGTGCGGCCAAGAAAA